TACAGGTTTGTGCCACCACGCCTGGCTGAGTCAATGCAACTTAACATAATGTGAGTATAATAAAAGTACAGCCCTTGCCCTAAATTACAGCATCATTAAGTTCCATCATGGTCATGACTATGACTTTTGTGCTTTCAGCATTACTGAGTCTATCAGGAATGCAATTAAACAGTTTTAAACATGATTTTAAGATAGAACCAAAAGAACATGGCAGATAGATAACAGCAGCTATGGAGGCTCTCGAGTTAGCCAGCTTAGAATCCAGGAATGGTCCGGTGTGAGGAGTCCTAAGCAAGGGGAGATACACCCTGCTGACCCAGGAACGAACTAAGCTGAGAGAAGCCAACTGGAAATGCAATCCCAGTGCTATAACCAGAACAGATAAAATCTCAGCATTGAAGCTGGAACCCGCACTTCTGGAAGCCGTGATCTGAATTTCCTGCCACCGCTGCTGCACCTGAATCGGCACAAGAGGGACACAGAGGTGAACGGAGTTGAGAGCAGGACTGGCGGGGAGCCCTGCATCAACCTGCGATGAGTGAGAGGAATAGGGACCCCTCCATAGACTAGGAGGCTCCAACAGAGGACATTCTGGGACCGGACAGATTAGCCGGAACAGGACGCTGTAGTGACTTTAGCCACATATTCCCCTCTCAATCGGGATTGGTGGGGAGTGCTTGGCCTGGGTGATGCTGCAGACTAAGACCCAGTAGGCTAGCCCAAACCAGGTCTCAGCACCTGGCAGTGAACCCTAGCAGTGAAGCCTTCAGTAGGTTGACCTGGAGGAGCAGGCCCCGCAGAGGCTGCCCAGGTCTGTGTCTCCCTAGTGCACTGCAGTGGGCAGGAACACCTAGCTGGCGGATTCAAACAAACTATAACCAAAAAAGAAAGAAACTGGGCCTCCAATATATGCTTGTATGGAAGGAACAAAAAGTATGGGAAGAGGGAGCAACAAGAAAGGGTCCTCGGCCCCAATCCTAAGAACACTGACCCAGGAAAGGTAAATGCAGCAGAATGAGGACAGAAAATATGCAATATCAGACACGGCACCAATAGACATAAAGCGGTATCTCCGAAGCCTCATAGACGAGTTCAAAAGTGAAGTATTTAACGACCTAAAGCAAGATATAAGTAGAATAGTTAGAGAAATGCTAAGCACTGCCCAAACAGATGGTGGAATGGAAGAACAGAAAAAAAGGGGAGAATTGTTTGATGGAGAAAACAGACAAAACATAGAATACGAGAAGCAGGTTCAAAGAGATTATGAGGAAACTAAAAATTCTATTGAAAGCTGGCATAACAGCTTGAAAGAAACTAAGGATAGATTATCTGAACTGGAGGACAGATTTGTAATGTGGGAGCATCAAATGAAGAGCTTCTTAAAAATAACAAGAAAACAAACAGCAATAATACAAAGACTAGAAGATGATAAGAGGATCTATAACTTAAGAATTAAGAACATAAAAGAAGAAGTAGGGACACAAACAAATGAACTACAAAGGCTATTTACAGAAATCCAGGAGAATTTCCCTAATTTAGTAAAAGGTAGATACTCAGATGTATGAGGCATATAGGACCCCAGCCACCTACAACCCAAACAGAACACCACCCAGACATGTAATAATCAAAATTCCAGAAATCCAATATAAGAACAATATCAAAAGCCATCAGAGGCAAGAAACAGATCTCTTACAAGGGAACACCCATCAGAATTACAGCAGACTTCTCGGCACAAACCATCAAATCATGTAGAGTGTGGGGGGAAATAATTCAAGCTTTGAAAGATAATAACCTCCAGCTGATTGATATATCCTGCACAACTATCTCTAGAAATTGATGGAAAAACAAGGTGCTTCCAGGATAAAGAGGAACTAGGGGAATTTGCAACCACCAATTCAACTCTATAGAGAATACTGCAGGACATTCTAAAAAAGAAAAATACCAAGATTCCAGAAATAGTGGCAGACAGACCACAATGAATGGAGCAGAAAACAAAATGAAGACAAACTGACAACTAATGACAGAAAAAGAGCTCAACAGAAATGAGGCAGAGAAGGTTGGATGGTAGGAACAGCTGTTTTGGAGTAAACAAGACATCGTAATAGCTAGTGCTGATTTAATATCATCTTGTTTTGAAGTCCCATCAAGCTTTTGTTGTTCTGTCTCCATCAGTCTTAACATGTTGTATCTTACTAGATTTTATTATATGTGATAATATAAACAAAAACTTTCATAGACAAGGAGATTATACAGAAACCATTGTTCATTTTCTGTTAGTTGGTTCTAAATACCCTGTAATACTGTCATTCTCTTGAATGGTTTTACATTGTCTTGATATGTTTGATGCTACAGTATACGAAGTTATACTCAAAGATTTCAAGGAGAGAGACACTATGGTTAACTACTTTTATGTGGGGATATCTGGTAGTAAAATACTATTTTGCTTAAATGGTTATGTTTTGCTGTTATGTCCTCTTTTATCTCAATCTCCTTTTTTATCTTAATTAAGGGAATAAAAAATAGGGTATATTATAGTAACCCACTTTGATTTCCTATTAACTTGACTTGAAACCCTGTATTGCTCTCACCATCTTGTTTTGACTGATTTTCCTCTATTGTGTTTTGCTTGATAGTACCAAGTTGGAGAATATAGGCAACAACTGTGACAAGAAGAAGACAATAAGATTCATTATGACGCCCATTCTGGTTTGACTATTATCTTCTTTTGAAATCCTGTAATGTCTCCAATGTTTTGGTTTTATTGGTTTTATTCTTTACTGTTTTGTTCAATTTTATTATAACTGATGATATAGGCAATTCTTTTTAAGGTAGCAAGAGGCATTATGGTAACCATTGTTGATCACCTTGTTTTTTGTTTTTACAGTATGTTTTATGTCCATCCTTTTGATTTGACTAACTCTTTTGTTATGTTACATTTGGTTTTATTCTCTTCAAAAAAAAGTAGTAAGAACTGTGGGAGTAATAAAACCCAAAATGTGCAATTTTCATTGTACAAAAGAGAGGAAAAGAAAGTGCTCTAAAGGATATAACTGCATGTATACTTAAGTGTATAAGATAGATAACCATATTACTGAGTTTTGTTGGATCACTGAATGGAACTGTTTGCAGTCTCACTGTTTGAATGTCTACTTTATATGCTTTAATTTTGTAACTTGAACAACTATTTCTAAGATGACAATATGTAATCTATTAACTAGTGATTTCCTACTGTTTTTTCTGAAATTCTGTGTAACTTGTACCCTGTTTTTTTTTTCTCCTTCAGACAGCACCAAAAATTAATAAAATGTTATCAGTCTACTGAGCATGGCATTCATCACCAAGAAATTGGGCTATGGACCAGTGTAAATGAGGATAAATGCAACCAGTGCTGTTCTCTGAAATCCAAGCAAAAGACCAAGTGCTTTATTTATTTTTACTGGTTCTCAGGCTTAGCAACAACCAACCCAGCTTTCATAATTCCTGTAACACTAAAGGTTCCCATTAGAAGAAAAATACAGCTCAATACACATTCATATTTCAAGTACTGTATCTGTCTATACAGGACCCTATCATCTTCAAAGATACTTCACTCACTAGGCCCCCAGTGTGGCAATCTAAGAATTAGGAAAGAATGAAAGCACAAGAGAAGCCTTTTGCTTCATTTCCAAATTTAATCCTTTACTGAACTTTGCACATAAGTATAATATTTTCTTCCATTAAACTTAATTTCTATCACTTAACTTTGTTTCCCTTACTTCAAAAAAGAACTGTACTTTAAATTGTAATAAAATGTTGATGTAAGTTACATTAGTGGAAATCACAATATCCCAAGTCCTCTTTAAGCCTCAGGACAAAGTAAAACTTATGCCTTAGAACCAGTAAGCCAGGTTTTGAATCTTCTGGCAGACTGGAGACTTCTACTCTTGTTGCCACATCTTGTCCCATATGCTAACACATCTGTGAATTTCAGTCCATTGGCTGAAATGATGATGAAATCAAGGGGCCAAAGAGATCAGCAGGATAAGCAATGTACTTGGTAATACTGCCTCAATGATGAAGAAGTGTAATTACTCAGTTTTCACTCTGCTCATAACAAAATTACACGCAATCCAGTCATTTCATTATGAATACTGTTACATGACTAAGAATCAAAGAAAATATCTGTAGAACAAGATAATCTACTATCATAACTACAGTCAGATCAAGGTGGTCTTGTGACGCAGGCCCACAATCCCAGTACTCTGGTTGACAAGGACAGAAAGACTGCGAATTCAAGCCCAGCCTCAGCAGTGTAGTGACTTCCTGAGACACTGTCTGAAAAATAAAAGTAAAAACCAGGCTGCAGATGTAGCTTCAATAAAAGGGCCCTGGGTTACGCCATAGTGCCCCCTTCCCAAAAACAAATTTCAGCATTGCAGAAGTTTATTATGCATACAAAAGGACAGTCTTGCAAACTGGGAGACCGCAGTCCAAACTTGTGAGGAAGGCTTCTCAAAATAGCAACGCCTTTCATAAAGCATAAAGAAGTATTTTGTGCTCTGTTGTTACTGCTTGTTATATAGTAACATTCTTTTTAAGGCAAAAAGACAGCTTTTAAGCTTATTAATCTATTACTCAATGTTTTAATTTCATGGAATCATACTGTCAAGGACATAAAGCTTTTCTTTTGTGGTTCATTTATTACAGCATTTGGGGGAAATCGGGATGACTTTAAGATTTGGCAATGTTCCTGTGAGCGATTGGCCCTGGGGGGTCTATCAAAACTCTGGCCTCCATTTTTATTTCTCTGTAACATTCACTATTCAATAGAAAATACTGACTTTGGACTACTGGGGCAAAGGAAGAGAAAAAGATTCATGACTTGCAAGCAGCACAGCTCATCGTTTTGATTAGCTGCAACAGTGACAGTGAAATAGGTTCTGAAAAGCATTTCTACCATCTTTTCTGACAAGACAATTGCGTTTCTCAAAAAATGGTAATGCACTCAAAAGAACACAATGTTAGCTTCTGAAACTTTATTTTTAGTACATACATTTCATGAACAGAAAGCCTCTAACCCCACACACAATTCCATAACCAAATGTTTTAATTTCATCAACATTCCTCAACTATTTACACTGTCTTCCCTCAACAAAAGTGCAATCCGAGACATCTTGACAAGAAATCTTTACCAAAAAAAATTTTAAAAGAAATCTTTACCAGTAACAATATATTTTTGAGCTGTTTTTAATGGTGTTCATCCATTTTACTTTCTTACCATTATCTGGAATAACAATAAAGTCAACAGGACGTGGAAATGAACTTAGTTAGGCAAACACCCTACTGTAAGAACCAAAACACTAAAGAGCACTTTCTTCTCATCTCTTCTTCAACCTCCAACTAAAATTACTTAACATCTGTGACCAGGAAACTAAACAGAAAAGGAAAAACTGGGAATTACCAACCCAGGTACAAAAGACCAACTGAATAGTAAGCATTGGTCTTGCAATACTAAATGAAAAAATTTCAGCACATTAGCTTTGTTAGTTTCATCATTTAAACATCTAGTAATACTTTTTCCTGATGAGCTGATTTTTGCCAAAATGTGAAAATTTCTTTTATCCAGAAAATACTGTCTTATAAAAACTGAAAGGCAAAGGATATTTTGGGACAATCCTTTGTAAATAAAACAGGACAATTGAACCACCCCTCAATTTCATGCCATGTCTATCTTTAAAGTATAAACACAGTAAATCCATGCTTCAGATGTAACCACAAGAAAATGGAGAACTAAGATGGCCTGAAGAAAAAATGACTTATTATAATTGTCTTCTCTCTACACTATAGCAGGTTAATTGTGTCTGTTCAAGGTATGCAACTCTTACAAATAATGATTTAAAAATGTTAGACTGGATTAAAAATCACTGAAATTATTAGTCACTCAAGACTGCTTCATGTTATTGAACACTATTAGAAAACAAAATCTCTTGGATAACTGATATCCTTTAATACCCTAACAAGGACAAAAACAATAATCTTTCTTGACAAATTCCAATTATGATCAAGGTGCTCAGGACAAGCATGGAGAAACTATGAAAATCAGCATATTATAATGTTGCATATTTAATTGTATTTTATTCTCCAATCAGCCAAACTGTCCCTTTTAGATAAAAATACAATGCCTTGAAAGACTGTGTGATACCCATGCCTCTCCTTTATCTGCATACATCTACAGAATCTTCACTGCATCATCAAAATAACTTACCAAAGCAAATTTCACTCAATTATAGTGAAACCTCATCATACTTACTTTTCAATCTAAGGGAAGAATATAGAATGCGGCATAGACTAACCCCACAGTGATTTTACCCTGAAGAGCTTGCTGAATTCAACAGGCAGGTTAATTGTAAGCTTCCAAACAATATGCAGGTTTCACTAGAAATATGTAGGTGGCCTGAAGAACAGTAATACAAATATTTTACTGCTAATGCTAAACTCAGAAATAAAATTCAAATGGTTCTCTGAAAACAAGAGAAACTTACCAATTTATAAACTTAGATAAAAGAATCAATAAAGAAACAGTTGATTCACAATTACAATTTTGTGTATCAATGACAAATTTCTAAGGGCTATTTTCTATAGGCCTCTTGTAGCTGCATTAAACACTGCCTGACCAGTAATGATTTTCTGTTTCAACATAGGCATTTTGAGCTCCCCCTTCAATGTGGAATATTTTTGAAATCCAATACCCAATCAGATCAGCACAAGTAACAATCAAAGTGACAGGTGAAGAATATTAGTTGATGCATTTTGTTTGCAATGCTGCATTATTTCAAACATAACCACATAGTAAAAATGAAACTGAAGTACAATAATGTCTAAAAGGAAAAATTACACTGAGAAAAAAGTTATGCACCAAATGAACAGTGTAAAATATTCACATCAACGTCAAATTAGGCTATTCATAGAATGATTTTTAGTAACCTTTTAGCATGTACATGTAACATACTTTAAACAAATTCATTTGTGAGACTCTAATTTCAATTCTACAAAAGATGGGGTATCAATGTATTAGTCTAATGGATAGAAGGTAGTATTTAGAATGCTTAATACTCTAATGAAGTTCTGTGATTTTTTTTTTAAGCCAACAAGGTTTCATGAGGATCTTTAGAATGACTGTTTTTTTAAAGCCCACTGTTAAGAATTCCAACAGTGGTATTTCCAAAATGACACATACAGCACTTTAAAAAGAAATGCTAAAATTATTATTTCTTTCATCATTCTCTCAAACAATTCTTCCCTTCCTCAGCTCAACTCTGATTTTGCAAACTCAGTACCAAATGGGTTAGACATAGCTACAAGGCATTATAAGGAAGATATGTGTGGCACAACTGGTCCTGAAGTTCACCAGTTAGGTTCTATGGCTGTGAGAGTCACCTGTGGGAAGGATCTGATACCAAAAAGCACTTCCCAAGTGCAATCTGCAGATATCATCACCCAAAAACACACTCTGCATGGATTCTCATTAAGAGCTACTCTGACCAACTTCACAGAGTAACTCAAACAACAGAGTTCTGCTGCTTTTTTGCCCTCTCAATTTCGAATGCATCACTTCCAAATTTATTTCACATATTCTGTTATAGGTCAGCTTAGCTAAAAATGTTTGCAACACCAATAACTTTCCTATCTTCTACTTTCAATATTATTTTCAGTATGAAAACTGTTAAATTACAACACTGAAAGAAAAGAATACTCATGTCCACTTTCCAGTCAGCTGTAAGTGTAAACTGCATGTCAATGTGTACTGCAGAACACTAAGCCGAGACAGCCCAATTTACTATTAGCTCTCCAGGCTCAGGCTTACATTCACTTGTCACATATCTTGCCTATGGCCCACAGAAGATCTAAAAGTGGGTCTTCAGAAAGTCAATGTTTTACTGAGCACTCCTCCTCTCTACTTCTTCTATGCGTTTAGTTCATAGCCACATAATCCCTTTCCTAGTTCACTCCATCCTCCCCACCACTCTAAAGCTGCATCAGAGACTCCTGGTGAGAATGAACCCTACTCACACTCACAGTTACTCACCTGGCGGCGCTGGTCCTGATCACAGACTAACACAGGGGAATCAAGACAGGGGAAAGGGCAGTCCCATTTTAGTGGCATACATATACAGAGTAACTCTGCTTTAAATTAGAAAAGAAATTAACGTCACAGAATGTTTCCCTATAAAAGATATGTAATAAAGTAATATCAATAAAATAGCTATTACTAAAGCAAAGCTTTCATCAATAAGCTTCAAGAACTTTGAAGGAGGAGAATGGCTTCACGAAATGGTAGTCCAGGTTCCCACAGTGTGGACACTGCTGGACGTTGCTGTACTCAGAGAAGTACTGCATCCCAATCCGCACATCAATCACGGGCTTCCCACAGTGCTTGCAGTTCAGGCGGGCCTGGAAGAAACAGACACGTAAGCCACTGTTTGGCTCTACAATACTTGTCAAAGTCATCCAAACCAAAAGGCTGAGAACTGCTTGACAGTTCAATCATCTCTTATTACCAAAAACAGGGTATGCAAGTCAAATGTTCGTCCTCATCAGTCTGACAGATTAGTAACTTCAATTTTTCTCTTACTAGAGGCAATGCTAGTCCTGTCACTTACTAGTAAGAATAAAATTCTAATCTAGTACCACTTAAACTTTGCGGCCAAAGTTTCCTTAACAGCAGACAACCCACAACCTAAATTTTAAAAGTGTGGTTTAAACTATCTTCCCCCACCTACATTTGCATGATATTTTTTTGAAGTCAGAGTTTATTTCAAAAAGTTCATATGCATTTTCATTTTACTCTGTATGACAATGTTTTTTCTTCTGATGTAAAAATTAAATTTCCTTCAAATACCAAAGTAAAATGGGCAACCCAGGCAGACGTGCTATTTTTCCTGAGGCTTCTGGTTCCCACTAGCACATTATCTTCATTCATGCCAGATTCTTCTAGCAGTACAATTCTATCCCCTTTCAGCAACAGTTTCCAGAGTGATGTGAATACAAAGAAATTATAAATAAACAGACGCTAAATTTCAATTCGTTCTGAAGTACTAACAATATATAATCTCAACTTGTCTTCAAAACACTCCTGTGAAGTAGGTAGTATTATCCCAAATTCAGCTGACGAAACTGGCACTATGGCGCAGAAAGAAAACAACAAAAATTCTGTATATTAAAAAAACATGAGCCAGGAGCACACTGCCTGCCTGGCAAGTGTGAAGTCATCGAGTTCAAGCCCTGATACCAAAAAAAAGAAAGTAAAACTTTCTTCTTCCTTTTAAGTCCTAAGTTTTTATTAGAAATTTAGTATGTTAATTATACAAAATACGAGAAAATGTATGCAAGCAAAAAGAAAACTAACTCAGAATCCTGCCACCCCAAACTTCCGGGCCAACTGATAATAGGTTAGTAAACCATTTATATGCTTACTTAGGGTTAGGGTTAGGGTTAGGGCACGGTATAGTGTCATTTTATAACTTTTTTTTTAACAGATGGGAAATATTCCACATATAATGGTAAATTATTTTACAATATTCCGTGTAATAACAGCATAACATTCCATCACAATTTAGTAACTCAGCAATCTCTGCTGGAGTTCAGAGGTCTTCCTGAATTTCTTCTGGGTTCTCAGAAGCATCTTCTACTAGTTCTCACACCTCCCTCAAATAACCATGAAGCAGCCTTTAACTCCTTTACATTCACTTAGGGACCGAAGCCCAATGCACACACTGCTTCTGTGGTGGAGTTAATACCAACCTGACAACAGGGAGAGGCGGCCAGGATGTCGTAGGTATACATTGTGCCCAACTGATGCCAGCTGCCATCCCACCGTGACTTACACTTGATGCAGATGATTTTGTGAACCCCTTCTAGGCAGTCCACACACACTGCGTACAGATGCATGAGCCTCCCTGCGTACAGAAGACAACAGCTGAGAGTGGCTGTCATGAAAATCATATTTCATCTCCACGGGACAGTCTACAATGCTTTGTCTGCCAATTATAAGCAACTATTTTATCATTTAGAAAACTACAGAAAGCAGACACTAGTTAACACACATCCCCAAGCTAATCATGAATTACTATTATCAACAAGACACTGACTTTAAGTTGAAGCTTATTAAAAAGAAATGCTTGTTCCAATCCACTTTACAAAGAGTACTGACAGATTTATGTAATATGCCCATCCACAACCAAATAACAAAGCCACACATGTTCAAAACCAGCCAGTAATCTGACACTCGTTCAGAAATCTGTGTGACCCATGGAAAGGGGAACCAACATAGATCTCACCCACAAGTCTCATCATGAAAAAGTTGAAAGTCTCTCTTGGAATCACTAGCCTAGAAGTAGACCATAGCCAGAATACTGCACTAAATGTTCTAGTCCCCCAAAATGCTCAGCTCTCACATTTAATTTAGGAACCAGAATTATACCTTATATAAGTGGTTTGTTAACAAGTTCAACATTTTATTTACTAGGTTCTTAAAAGTTACAACCTTTTTCTTCTGTTACTTATCAATGTCTTAACACTTATAAAGGTTAGATGTCATCCTGATTTATAAGGAAGGGTTAGGTTTCAAATAACAGGGAAACAGAATGTCCAGGATTTGCCTGGGGAACATATAGAAGCAGCACTGCAGACTTCTATGTGGGCATAAAAGCTTCAATGTGTCAAACTCAGTAACATCAGAACAAATGCTCCAAAGGAGCTTTGGGTTTCACAATATGCTGCTGTAAGTCTGACCGTGAGTCTTCACTGTTCAGTGGTAACCAAACTACTCCTGCAAAGGCACTTTCTTTAAAAGAAACCCTTTTATTATATTTGTATGACTCGATCTTTGAGGGAAGAAAGCACATCTTACTCTCTTTGTAGAGTCAGTGTGTCCACACAACCTCTAGAAAGTAGAAAACACTCGTGGAAAGGGTGGAATATGCTAACAGCCAAATACAACTTCAGGGCTGCTATGCCCAGAACAGGAGGCAGATAGCTTCCTGGAATACGACCTCCCTCTGCCGTAGGACACTGAAAATAAGATCTCACATGCCACTGCCACTCTGAATGGCCTGGTGCCTCGTCAAAAAACCAGTTCAGGTATGTAGGAGCCAGTCTCTGGTCTTCCCCACAGACCTACTCACTGCAATTCTAGAGCATCTCATGTTACACTGCGCTGCTAGAAGGGAGAGCAGCAGTGAAGATTAAGTTTGGTAAAAGGGACCAGGAGGATAAAGGCAACAACTTTTTACTGAGTGCTTACTTAGGGTCTGCACTGGGCTGCTGAGTTGAATCATTCCATTTAACTCTATCTCAACTCCAGAAAGCAGGCAGGATGGTTAGTCCTTCATTGGAGACAGGAAACCAAAGCTTAGGGTTTGAGCAGCCTGCCCAAGTTCACAAAGAAAATGAGTAGCAATTTACACTCAAATTCACATCTGACTTGTTAATCTACAGATAAATCTTGGAAGACCTGCTCCATACTTAGTCTCTGGATTTGTTTTCCGTTCCTATTATACATGGTACTAAGTACAGAGAATTTTGAATTTCTAAACCCTAGGACAAGATTTTGTGAGTTCAAACAAAAAGCGGGCCTCCTAAGAGAATAATCACTTGCTCAGATTGGTAAAGATGTTCAATAAAATCTTCCTAATTAGAAAATTTTAATGTATTAGTTAAGCAAAATATATTCTCAGAGGAAGAGTTTCAGAACAGAAGCTGGAGGTGAAACAGGAGGAGGTCACAGAGATGTAAAGGGCAGGGAAAGGGATTAACAAGCCACGGAGTCCACACTGGAAACAGACAGCGTTTTGCAGCATATAATCAACTGCACATGGACTCCTGTGTCCTGGAATGCAGTCTTCCTACTGGAGTTGAAAATGCTTTAAAGAAGGCATGGTCAGGACTCTGTGATGGAAGAAATAATCTGCCCAAGTTTGCTATAAGCAAGATCACCCAATCTTCTGTGGAATGCAGCAACGAAAACACTATTACATGACCAAGTCCTCACCAGTGGCACTGATGATGTCTCTGGTCCATCATTAGATACCCTCATCTTCAGATTTTAATTCTCGGTACTTTTGTGATATACACCTAACACAGCCATTATCTAGTTGTGAATGCTTACATATTTATGTATGTACACAGATACAAGCATCCTGGGTCCATCTAATTTTTACCTTTTTCTTCATCCACTTCAATAGGTAGCCTCAAGATTTGTCATATCTTCTTATTTTGCTTTCTATTTTCTCCTCATGCAAGAATTCTTCTACTTTTATAACCGAATCACCACAACAAAATAAACTCTCCAGTGTTCATTCCAATTGTTTTTTTCAAACAGTGTTTCTGACATCTCCACACACGTCTCAACGCCTCTTCTAACCCATACACAAATGTCATCATCTTTCCCCTAAACTTCTCTAATCCCCTGACACCACAGCTTACCTGGTGTGGTGCCAAAGTTTGCCAAAAGAGACTCTGCATCCTCAACATTGAGAGATCCATAAATCTATCATTTTCCTTTCCAATACTCTATTGCACACATCCAGGCCTTTCAATTCCCTCTCCTCTGTCACTAAGAGGCAGTCTCTCAGATTCTTGTGTACAGACTAGAGAAACAAAGTTGTAAGTGTTTCTAGGTCCCAACCTTTTCAAACAACTTTTGGGAAATGTTTCTGTGTGCTTTTAAAAAAAAGTTTAAAACCCTTCAATTCAGAAGGAGTGTCCCCAAGTCCACACTCCATGAATGGTTCTTTTTCTATCTCCTAATCATAACCTATTCTTTTCCTTTCAAACACCATTCCTTTATGTAAGCTGCTCCATTATCTCACAACCAAGAACCAGTGTGACTGGACCCTCTGCTTTTCAAAGTCCAGCCCACCTGCTTACATGTGCCTCCTCTGACCAACCAAGCCAAAGTGGATCCTTTCTCCTTGAAAATTATAGAACAATTAATATACATAATCTCTATATGTTACTAATTGCACACATAGTGTTACACACAGCCTTAGGCCTGATAAAATTACACTGTATAAAAGCATCTTAAGTGCATCTTAGGAAATAAATTTAAGACAGGCAAGAACTGAAATTACCCAGCACACGTATGCTATCAGTTCAGTTTGACTAAAAATGTAATGAGTCAAAGAACTTGTCCATCACAATTAGAAAAAAGAATACTATTCTCACTTACCCTGTCCCCAAGGACTCTCACTCATTCTCACAAAGAATGGTTCAAGTTTTTAAATGGAGACGTTAAAGTATTTACACTCATTTCCTTCTAAAATTACCAATGAACAGGATAAACAAGAAACACAAACTCCATACTCCATGAGACAACTGAAGTACCTGCAATGCTGGACCAAAATATAAGGTCCGAAAGTAAACACAGTGGGTTAGCACTGAAACTGAACAAGGACGGAATGCACAAGGAAATAGTGGGTGCAGCAAGTTACAAACAACCACAACGTTTATACGTCTTTCTTCAGGATGCAGAGTATGGGAGCAGCCTGGGGACCTTGGCTTCAGGACTTATGTCAGTGAAGACCTCAAAGGGTGATGAAATCATCTCAGCTTCCACCTCCAGAGAGACCGTGCAGCTTCCGCTCTCACCTGGAAACTGAGAACGTCACCTGAGAAAGCCCAAGCAGGAGGATCTTCACGAACTATTTGGACCACGTAAATTAATACAGATACTGTGGAAAACAGTAAGGAGGTCTCTCAAAAAATTAAAACTTCACTGATTACCGATAACAACAAAACATTCGATACTCTGTGTAAAAAACAACTAAAATTAGAACTACCGCAGGATCCAACAATCCCATTCCTGGGTATAAACTCAAAGGAACCAAAATCAGTGTGCCAAAGAGACATCTGTACACTTCTACTCTGCAGCAATCTTCCCAACAGTTAAGAAACAGAATCAACCTAAGTATCCACCAACAGATGAACAAATAAAGAAAACGTGCTGCATTTTCATACACGATGGAATATGAGTCCTCCATAAAAAAGGTTGAAATCCTGCCATTTGTGGCAATATGGATGAAGCTGGAAGATATTATGTTAAGTGAAATAAGCCAGATACAGAAAGACAGGTACCACATAACATTCACTTTTACAATCCAAAAACAAGCTGATTTCACTGAAGGGCAGTAGCATAGTGGTTATCCAAGGCTGGGAAGGAGAGAAACAAAGAGAATGGGAGGTTAAAAGGTACAAAATTACAGTTAGGAGGGTAAGTTCAGGTGTATTGCACAGTAGAGTGATTAGAGTTAGTAGTATTACATAATATGGTATTTCTCAAAATGAAGAGAGGATTTTGACTACTACCATGAAGAAATGGTAACTGCACAAGGTGACAGCTATTCTAAACATCTGTTGAGCATTACACAACATATACATATCAAGAATCATACTGCACCCTCTAAACGTACAACTATTATGTGCTGATTAAAAATTGTAAGAAGTCCAAACTAGGCTATTGGAAAATGAAAGACAAGGAACACCATGAGACATTCCAGCTGAATCCCCGAGACTACCAGTCCATCAATGTTACATGTGTATGTGGAGCCATCTTGACCAATCAACCACAGAACTGGCAGAAGTACTTACACCATCACTGCATTTATGTTCTTGGACGTTCTACTTTATAATAAAGGCCTTAAAAATATGAGGGATTAGGCAAAACTTGCAAAATGAATGAGACTTTGACTCAGTCTCTTTTCTTGCTCAGACAGATAGCAAGAAATTGCATTCATTAAATACAAACAGGATGCTACTACCAGTTGCTTCCTTGACAGAGGATTAACATATAAATAACTAAAAAAAAAAAAACCTAAAATAATAAGACAACCAAATCAGTAAGACATTTCCCAAAAGAAGCACAAATGGCCAAATGCATATTAAAAAATGTTCAACATCTTTAGTTATGAGAGAAATGCAAATCAAAACTTCAATGAGATTCCTCCTACCAATCAGAATGGCTAACACCAAAAATACCAAAAAAAGTATGAATGAATGAATAAGTGATGGGAAAGAGAGAAAAAGGAACCCTTCTACAATGCTTGTAGTTGTGGTGGTAATATAAATTAGCACAGCCACTCTAGAAATCAATACAAAGGCCCCTTAACATATTTAAAAATAGAATTACCATGTGACCCAGCCTATACTACTCCTTGACATATACCTGAAGAAACTGAAGTCAGCACATTACAGGAATGTCTATATAATCATGTTTACTACAGCATAATTCACAAAAATCAAGACATGGAACTAGCCATAACAAAAGAATGGATAAATAAAATGTGGTATATATACACAATGATGTATTATTCCATCATAAAGAATGAAATAATGTCACTTGCAGGAAAACAGAACTGGTGATCGTATTAAGTGAAATAAACTAGACTAAGAAAGAAAAATATTCCACGTTTTCCCTAATATGCAAAATCTAAAAAAAATGACATGGGAGTAGAAGGGAGATCTATATTTAATAAGAGAAGGGAAGTATAATGGAAGGTAATAGAAGGAATGGATATGATCAAAATATGTACACATGTATGGAAATATCACACTGAAACAGTATTTTGTAAAATTTATAGACACTAATAAAATATATTTTTAAAAAGAGCCCTTGGAGGGGCTGGAGATTTAGCTCAGTGGCATAAGCGCCTGCCTTGCAAGCAGGCAGTCGTGAGCTTGATCCCAGGACCAATAAAAAAAGAAAAAGACAAAAAAAAAAAGAGCCTGTGGAAATTCAAGAATGATGATAGAAAGTCAACGAAATCTTTCAGAAAGCAGAATAAAGAAGTGTACGACAGAGCCAAAAAAAAATATACACACACACATATATGTAAGAAAGGATGTCCTGTCCCACCAAAACAAGGATCAAAATAAGTCCGATATCTAATTAATAGGAGAGCCAGTTTTTCACAGTTTGTAATAAAAATACAATAAATTCCTCCAAATTGAAGACCTTAAGTTTACAGAATAATGGGCCAAGAAAGTTCAAAGCACAATTAATGGAAGGGGCTAACCAAGACAAACCACTGTGATAGAATTTTGGGATACCTGGTATATAACCAAGTGAGAAGACACAACCAAAACATTCTCAGATTTTCAAAATCTTGGCACCCACAAAACTCCTGGGAATGTCCCCTGACAAACTAAGAGAAAAAACCAACAGCAATAAAAATATATGAGATCTAGGAAACAAAATGTAAAAAACACAGGAAAGAAATGAAGGCTTTCCTAGAGGGACAGCTAGAGTACAGCAGGTCCTAAGTAGACGGGGACGGACAGGAGCAGGGGAGTAACAGGCCACATGAGGGCATCTTCAGAAGAAAAACTTCAAGCATCCTGTCTGGTATGTGAAAAGGCTTTTATGGCTTGTAGCCAGGTTGCTGGAGAATGACGGCAACTAGTCAAGGTTTAGTTTTGTTTTGTTTTTTAAAGAAAAAACACGAGGGGCTGAGGCACAAGGATTACAAGCTTGAGTCCCACCTGGGCAACTTAAACAAAAAACTTAAGCAGAGTTGGTGATGTAACTCAGTGATAGAGAACCCGCCCAGCATGCATGAGGCCCTGGACTCAATCTGATACTACCAAACACAAAAAGCAGACAAACAAAAAATACGCAAATGAAAACACAAAGAAATTAATGAAAATACAGGTGATTACACATCTTAGCTCAAAACAAATATTTACATACAACAGCAAAAACATGGATACAACCAACTGTAGTAACTGTATACTATTCTGAAAGAAGGGGAATAGTCACCGCCTTAAAGGTCAGTTAAGACGTATCTAAAATTGGAAAATGAAGAAACAGAATTTAAAATTATAACATTAAAAATGTGACTCATTAAAATTTAAACTCTCTCTGGGGACTAAGTATCTCTGGGGACTACAAAGTCAAGTGGAGATAAAGCAGGCTTTTTAAGCATACTTTTAAAGTTATGAACATGTTGTACATCATGCATATCAACTTTAAGAAGTTCAGTAGTTTTATAATAACAGATTTCACACTTGTAAAAACCACCCCTATCATTCAGCTTCTGGCTGAAATGTGTCCAAATTCTTTTACATCACCCAGAAAAGCTTACACACTTCCCTCATGACCATGACCAAGGAAATGTCTGAGAGTCCAATAATCCTCCATTTTTCTCATCTTTCATATTTTCAAAATTAATTCAACAAATCTGAAAATATACTGGCCCTTTCTGTCTCCCAATTATCCTATTATGTTTACAAGGATCAAAGAAATACGTAACTTGTTGGGCACATCAAAACAGGATTCAAAAATAACTATTTTTCAGTAAGAATTATGCAATTTATTTTCCTAAACTTCCTCCCAACTACTTTTCAAATTAGAACAGAAAAAAAACATAAAATTACCCACTGGGCCAACTGTACTGGTATAGTGCCATCACAATAAAAATCACTCCTACCTCAATGGGAAAGACTGAAAATATTCATGTTACCTAATACCTGATTAAAACAAAAATACAGTGTCAGTCTAAATTACACCCAAACAGAGTAATTCCCCATTTGCTTTTTGGGTTTTAACAAACCAAAAGTAGGCAAGGTGAGTCAACACCTATACCTTGAAGGTGACAAGGAACATCATATTCAATCTCATCATGTCTTGAGGGACTTAAGAACAAAGTTCCATCCACCAGTGGGAACTGTTCAAAGACAGGAAGTGCCCGGTGGCACAGAGCACAGTTTACAACATTTCTGTGGCTGGCACTGAGAGCTGCAAGAATGAACTTCCGCAGATCCTCGCCCTGGCCCATGTGGGCATCATCTTCCATTCGCACATGGAAAGTGTTCAGCTTATGCCTGGGGATGTGAGTGAGGAGCTCAGAGAGGTCCAGCCGCCGCAGGAACTGTACAGGGGTGTCGAAGTGCCCCCCCCTGTGAACAGATAATCCAGCAGCACTGTAATCAAAGTGGGCATTTCTGAACACGTGGCCCCCGGTCATGGCCTTTTTGTGAGGCTCAAGATGGATGGCATTCTTTAAAAATTCCCCAAGGTATCTAGAGGAGCGGGGACCACTGAAGTGGGCAGGAGAGAGGATGGAGTAGCCAGTGGGTGGGGACTGGCCAGGGGAACCACAAGGGGAGCGGCCACCATAGGCGGGGGCGCTGACCGCCTTCTCCTGGGAATTCTGCCGGTCCATGGAATGCCGTCGGGGCAGGTCGTGATTCAGGCTTTTCTGGGGCTTGTTCAGGGGCCTGCATTTTTTGGTCTCCTCTGCAACCTCCCCAGGGGGCCTCCCTGTGTTCTTCTCCAACCCAGACTTCTTTTTTTTCTCATCCTGCATCCGCTTCACCTGGTACCAGTCTGTGTCCTTCTTTAAGTGGCCCTGCCCACAGCGGCAGGAGCAGAAGCGGAAGGCCAAGTCATAGCCCTTCTTGGTCCACATGTTCTGGCGGCACTGCTTCTCATTCCAGCTGCGGGCCCGGCCGATACAGTTGAACTGCGCCAGGATGCTGCTCTCCCACTCGTAGAAGCACTGCAGGTGCATCCAGGTGCTGCAGGGGCAGTGCTCGTTGTTGCACACCACCTTCTGGCAGTCGTCCTTCTCCAGGTCCACCGGCCTGCCAAAGCTGCAGATCAGAGGCGTGGCACAAGGTGCTTCTGGGAGGGGAACAGAGAGAGAGAGAGACAGACTGAGTGTGCAGAGAGTGTTACACATTCTCTCCAGAGGTATGCCCTCACTGCAATAAACACCACACAGAACTCAAAACATCTGCCATTTTCTTCTGATAGGATGCTGTCCCAGAGGCAGTTATTTGCTGGTCTCCATTATCTGCCAAAAAACAAACTTAGAAGCTTCAAAATGTAAAAATTTTTCACAGTACAACTGTGCATCAGTACCCACTACAGTGTGGCATAAGATATTCCTAAGATGTGGGTGTAATGATAGTGCCAAGATTTCTTTAAAAATGAATCAATCCAGGGAAATGAGAAACAGTATGAAGCTATGTAACCAAGCTGGTTCTGGCATCTCCAAATGGGCCCTCCTTTATCACAGGCTTTAACTGTCCTAAACACCACACGGAGACTACAAAACAGACCAGCCTCATCACCAATTCTCTTGTATCCAATGGTTTCATACCCAATGATACGGCTGTCTGGTCTTATCACTGGTCTACACAGAATTCCACTGCCAAGTTGTAAAGGGGAAAAATCAGTTTGCTGAAACTTCTCAGATAAAAAGTGAAAAGATATTTCTATATTGCTGTAAGTATGTCCTACCCTACACACAAGGTCCAAACAGCCAGGTAGGTTAAAAAAAAAACCGAAAACATGAAAACATGATAGCACAAAGAAGACTCCATTTCTTAAGAAGCAAACATCATATACGGAGACTGAACTTCATAGTACTCCAGTAACTTCTCAATGACAACTGACTCAATGACAATGACAACCTGAGCTGATAACTTGTTTTTTAAAATTTCCAAAAGATATGTGAGGGAAACAGTACAGAAGCAGTCACAGCAATCCCAGGCAGAGTGGTACACACCCGTAATCCCTACATAAGGAAAGCTGAGGCAAAAAAATGGCAAGTTTAAGTCCCACTAGGGTAACTATCAAGACTTTGTCTCAAAATTTTAAAAGGACTGGGAATGTAGCTCAGGGAGACAGTCCTGCATATGTACCTCAATGCAGATGTCTTGGGTTCACATCCAGAACTGAAAAAATAAAATCGATAGTAATCAGGGGAAGAAGGGATAAACAGGAAGCAAACAGAGGATTTTTAGGGCCGTGAAGCTATTCTGTATGACACTATAATGGCAGAGACCTATCATTACACATTTGTCAAAACCCACAGAATGTACTCCACCAAGAATGAACCCTAAATTAATCATGTGAGTGAGTGACAATGTATGTCAGTGTAGGTTCACTGATTGTAACACACGGACCATTCTTCAGACAAGACTGATGGTGGGAGAGGTATACCTGTTATGTATGGAAACTTATTTCAATCTTGCTGTAAGAATCTAAAACTGCTTTAAAATTAAAATATATTTTTAAAATTAAGGGGGTAGAGAAAGCAGGCGTAAATCCCAGTTCTATAAAATACCAGCTGAGTAAAAGTACATTGGTAACACTTTAATTTTCAGCTTCTCAATTACAAATGGGTGCAACTGTAGGCACTACCTTAAATAAAAAATGCTTATAGAGAGTTTAGAATACTACCTGGCAGGTAATTTTTGCTAATGCTATTGTCGCCATTGTTCTTGTCATCAGCTGATTCTTTATAGCCCAACTTGGAACATTTTTATTTGTAAGAGAAACTATGCAATAAAGTGGACAGAAATTGAAAGCAGAAATGGCAAAACTGACCAAATATGGGTTCCAAACGGGAAACTGAGAGTCTGACAGTGCTAGAACAGAGCAGAGAAGGTTTCAGGCATGCCAAAGGAGACCAGAGTTCACAGCAGCTGCCAATACTGAGGCAGAAAGGCTGGGGCCTGGTGATGAGAAGGGCAGGCACCATTCAGAGCAAAGCAACCCACAGGCTTCCTTGATTCATCTCTTTTGTAGTTCTGCAACTTTCAATACAAAGTTGTCACTTCTCTTAAACCCCCACTGAATTTCTGTGCTATTCTGCCAGTTTCTCTGTAGTCTCCTACCTTCCCAAAATAAGTACTTTCCAGGAGCAGTGCTCACTATCTCTCTTCTAAGCTCTAGGCAGAAGCTAAAACTACCACACTTTGACAAGTACACTATATATTGACATTTGGATGCTTCTTTGTGCAGGGGCACTGCTCAGTGTTACTACAGGAAGTTAGCCTCACTAACTTTCCCTGAGTACTTGCTATGTATAACACCCAGCTACTCTTCCTTCCATAGAGAACCCCAAAATCTGTAACTTTTTCAAAATGCTCCAATATAGGGCAATACTACTCCCATCTGGGAGCCACTGAGCTTGATGACAAAGATCGCAGGTGCTAGGCACAGGGTATTAGACAATATCTGTGTAAAGGCTCAGGGTTCTGTTTTAGAACACAATCCTGGAGGCAGACAAACTAGAAAGAGAGGGCTCAGGAAGGAAGGAGAGTGCCTGAGCTCAGGCAGCACTGTCAGGCACCTCTCTGCACATGAGACTATGAAGGACAGAAAGGGGAGGGGAGGATCTGGACAGCAGATGCTATTTGGCTGCCCTGTTTTGGAACTGCTGAACTGAAAGAGCCTGTATACCACTGAAGTGGAGAAAGACATGAACATGTCTGGAACCCAGGAGAGTTCAAGCTGAGAATACAGATGGGAATCACAGCCAGCAATAAAGGTTAAATCCCTGGGACTCATGAGATGTCCAACACGAATGTGAGGAATGGGCAGAAACGAGACCAGGAACATAATCCAGGGACGCTTCAAGGCCTGACACTAAGGCTAGAGGAGAAAAGTCTTCCACAGAGAATGGTAGGGTAGAAACTGAAAATTCACTGGAAGTCCAGTCAAAAGGGAATTATGTCAAGGCAGTCAGGATGGAAGTTTACACAATGTCTCAAAATGCCAAGCAAGATCAGTGTTTCTCAATCTCTGTATTACTGACAAGTTGGGCTGGATAATTCCTTGAGGAGCCATTGTGTGTACTTTAAAGATGTTTAATGACGGGCTGGAGGTTTAGCTCAGCGGCATAAACGCCTGTCTTGCAAGCAAGCAGTCGTGAGTTCAATCCCCGGTACCGATAAAAAGGAAAAAGACAAAAAAAAAAAAATATATATAAAAAAAGTTGTTTAATGACATTTCTACCCTCCACCACAGCTGCCAGTAGCACTGCTCCCTCAACTGTAACATCTGAAATGTTTCCAGACATTGCCAACTATCCCTTGAGTGGTAAAATCACCCATCACTGAGAACTGCTGGCTAAGATAAGCCCAAAAAGTCCTTACCAGAATGAGCAGTGACCCAGGTACCGCCCATCTCAATGAGGGCAGTGACAGCTGGCACACTGGAGGACAGGTCAGGGGGATAGTATGGACCCAAAATCAAGTTAAAAAGAGAAAACAAAGTATAGATGGGGATAGAGGACAGCAAAGACTGAGGGCTCAGTATATTCAACAGCTGGGCAATGAATTTCAAAAGTCTAGACAGCTTGAGGATAAAGGACAGGGAACAATGCTATTCTTCTACTTAAAAACCTCCACAATTTCATCATTGTCCATTGAATAACCAATACAGTAGCCCACAAAATGCATCAGCACAGGTGTAGGACCTTGTAAATATTAAGTATAACTACTATGCATTACAACTGTCTCCTTCCAAGGTTTCAGCAAAATAGATCTAAACCAACTTGTGTACCTCTATGTATCTGATCACTGTGGCTTTCCCATGTACTTCCACAAGGTCACAATCCTCAATTCATTCACCTAAATTTTTTCCTCAGAACAGAATTTACAGTATTAATTTTGCAACCAAACTGTCTCTGTTACCAGTACTGGCACCATTTATGAGCTGTGTGCTCTCGGGTAAGTTACTTCTTTTCATGTCAGTTTCCTTCTTATAAAACACAGGTGACAAAATTTTACATGGTTAAAGGAATGGGGAAAAAAACCAAATACACATAGTGCATAGAACAAAACCTGGCACCAGCAAGCCTCTGCACCTTCCACTGACTGCTGAGAGGTTCACCTGTACATCAGGACTCTCTTCCCCCGGCAACCTGGGTCCTCAGCAATGATGACGTGAATCTGAGGTCTCTCATCATGGTCTCTGCCAGGTGACACCTTAGGAAAAGATGCCTCTTACTTATCTTTGTGCTGCTGGCACTATCAAGCCCAGGTCTTTTACACATCAGGCAGTGTAATCCTAACACAAATCTGTGTGCACTGAAGTACACTGAATAGAAGTGAAGAGTAGACTGAAACTGAGCAAATTAATTGCAGTCACCAGGGCTGACTTTTGATGTCACTTAGAATGTTAATCAATTAAACAGTTCACTTACTTTTATTGTCAATCCTTTAGAGAAATAGCCTTGAAGGGAATATCTCTGAAATGTAATGACAATAACCAAAATATATTAACCCCAGACTAACAAAATCAAATTAAAGGATGGCCTAATCATACCTTTACATTTACTATATTCAAAAAGTGAATCCTAAAACTCACTTGACATTTCTTTTAAAAATATAGGTAGACTAAGGAGGAAAAATCCTATTTATATCTTTTTAAAAATCAAATGTGTCATTTAATTAATATTGAGCATTTCCTACATGTCAGATCTTGCAGGCTGGAAAGATCTGGCAAATTATGCTAAGAGCTCTAACAGAAGTACCTGCCTGGAACACAGAAGAGGTCCAATAGTGAAGCCCACATCCCCTGTCCCACTGACACCGTCTGTAATTATCATGGCCATCTCACCCGCTCACTTCCCTCCAAACCTTTAAACTGAACTGTCCCACTGTGGTTTGGACACAGCTGGGTACCCTCTGAAAGTCCTTCTGTTGGAGGCGTGGATCCCAGAGTGACCATGGAAGACGGTATGGAAGCTTGAAGAGGTGGGATCTTTCCAAGGGGAAGGACTTGGAAAAGGAATACAGTACTAGTCACAAAAGCTTCAGGCAGGCCCGAGTTGCTCTACTGCTTTTTCCTCAATCCTTCACATGAATGGTCATGAAAGAAACGTC